CGTTACTGAAAAAATGTAACGGTGTTAGTAACGTTATTCCTATCACTGGAAATAACGTAGACGATCCAGTAACGAACACAAGAGAACACACACTGTAAACGCACAGAGGGGAACGAGGAAACTACACACATAAGGGAGGCACAATTGACTGTAATTGACAAGACGAGACAAGCAAGTAACCAATGCCATGTATGTTACTCCACCTCCATACAATCAAAGATAGTGTTTTTTTTTAAAACATAGGTCATAAAAAGCCAGATGGTAACACTCTCACTGGACATTTTATTAGGTACACTTTGATAGTACCAAGTAAGACTTCAGTGCTGTTTCTTTTAAATCTTTGTTGTTAATTTTGGATTGTAATGTTGTGATGTTATTTGAGTTACTGTTTCCTTCCTATCAGCTTGAAGGAGTCTGGCCAGTAAACAAAATTTTAAATTCTTTGTGGAATCCATGGACACTGCTGCTAGCAAACAGATTAAAAAAAACCCCAAAAACCTCAACATCATGTTTTAACTGATTCACAAACCATTGTATTCTGCTTTCATTTACATTGTACACAATATCGAAACTGTTTTAGAAACTCGACTGTAGCATATTTCTGTTCTAACACAGTGTCATAGTCAGACATAACAACAACAAAAAAAAACATATACAGAGAAATATTAATTTTATGTGTTTTTATTTACATAACAGAAAGGACTCTATGAATCAGTACAACTGAAAACTGCTGTGAAATCAACTTTTTTTTTAATGTACGTTGATTAGAGTTTTTGAATGAAGGTTATGATTCGTTTTTGATTTACTACCCAGGCCTATGTGGTACACTCCAATTGTTCATGATAAGTAGTCTATCTTATAGCATTAATTGACAGATTTGTTTGATTTCTTCTCTTCTTTCAGAGCTCTACAAACCCAAACATAAATGGTCTTGAGAAGACTTTCAGAATAGATGTTTTCCTGCTGTTTTTCCTGAGAGACAACTGTAAAGCATACACATTTTTCGAAAAACAACTGTCGTCAATCGGCTGCACAGTGGAGCTAAATTTCGATGAAGAGGAGGTTTTGGTTAGAGGGGAGGTTGACAAGGGTCCAGGAGGAGGATTTGGTGGTTCTGCAGAGAAATGGGAGTATCAGGTGAATCAGGTCTTCGTCCAGCTAACTGAGAGCTACAACTGCTATCATGTGCTTGAGCCAAAACAGGTGAAAATAGTACTGCAGGACTCGGC